AACCCTCGGCCCCTGCGCCTGCTTGCAGGTGCTTTAATCCGCTGAGCTATTTGGCTGGTCCTTCTTCTTGGTCTTTCTATGCTCACTGTTTCCACCCAACATTCTCAGCTAGTTTGTGCTGTCTCAGTCTGCTGTGTATTGCTGCCTCTTCTGTTCGCAGCATCTTTCTACTACTCATTTACACAACAATTTCTGGAGCTTTCTGTTTTTTCCTGTCTGGAAGCCCTTTCCGCTCCACTCTCAGCCTACCGGCCCAGCGTGAGGGCTAGCGCACATGCTCCCTTAGCTTCCCTTACAGGCTCTGGGAGCACATAACATGTCATACTGGAATCATACTTCAAGTAGTCCTGCTTTCCTGCTAGACTCTAAGTTTGCTGAAGGCACAAACTACTGTGTCTTATTTGCCTATGTTCTTTGCTTGGCTGCTAAATGCATCTTGGATAGCTCCATCGCTATACGAATAAATAAACAATGAATAAGTGAGGAGTGTAATTATCTCAAATTCCTCTTAAATGCAATGGCTTGTAAAGAAATGCCCAAATAATGGCTTCTTTCTATTTTGTATGGAGCCAACATTGTGCCTATCATTACAGGATGTCTGCAGGAGGCAGTACAAGTGCTGCTGGGACCCTGTGGCAGACACCAATGCCCCTCGATGCTTCTTCCCCAGAAACTGGGGCTATGAAGTCAGCAGTGGCCTTAGAAATACCAGCACAGGTGGGCACTGCCCTGCAGAGCTGCAAGCTAACCCTGAGAATTAGGTGAGCTTACTGCAGAACTGAGGCTACAAATCTCTCTCTTGAACTCTTCTTCCTACTGTAGGGTTTACTGCCCAGTTAAAAAAGGTACCATCCCCATCTCTGTTTGGAAATGATGTCTCCAATGTCCTGCTCACAGCTGAATTTCAGACAGCCAATCGTTTCCACTTTAAGGTAAGCTGACCAGCCTTGGGAGTTCCTTGAGCTGCGTTCATACCATGTTCCATGCAAATGTGTGGAGGCAGAAGCCACCTCCATTCCCAAGTGAAGAATCTTTGGATGGGATGGGCGGGCTAATCTATGTTTGATGGGGCACCTGTGGTGGAGTCATTTCTTTTCACAAACCAGGAGCCTCAAGGTCAAGAATCAGAAGTTGTTCTCATGGAGGATGCAGCTCTACAAAGAAGAGCTCCTCTTACCTGGAGCTGTCCCTTCTGGTTTCTTCTGACAGATTACTGATGCCAATGAGATTCGTTATGAGGTGCCCCATGAAAACATCAAGTCCAGTAATGGGACTGCTGATTTTTTGAACTACCACGTAACGGTCACCAATAAGCCCTTCAGCATCAAAGTAATGAGGATGAGCAACAGAAGAGTCCTGTGAGCTTTTCACTGTTCTTTGCACTTCTTTTGAATCTAGGGTCCCAGTATGAATCATTCCAGCACATTCTGGGCATGCAATGAGTATGATTTAAATAAGCTTGCCATTCAGAAATATGTAAATTAATTTCTGTAACTAATTAACAATGATAATCTGCCATGATTGTAGAGCAGAGTACTAAAATGTAATGCATTCATTTACTAAGTGATAGAATATATAAATACATCCATAATTATAGTTTATATATATTTTGAAGTGAAGAATTTTATTGTTTTGAGTTATCATTTATACCAGAACTGAAAGTTCACTGTTTATCATTCCAAAGTATTATTTTTTTTGTGAATCTTACCATTAAGCATCTGAAACAGTTTGAATTTACATCACCAATTGTTCTGCAGAAAATTCAAGCACTAATAGCAGTAAATCCTACAGTCAAATCTGGCACTAACACATCACCAGTCAGCAATATGTCTCACCTCTTCAGCACCAATTTCATTATCCATAAGATACTTGGGGAAAATGGGATAATATTTAATAAGCATCCGGAGTGGTGTCTGGGATGCGGTGGGTGTACAGCAAATGCGAGATCGAATTTCCTCTCTCCTCCCAACCTGAGCCTCTGGTGTCTAGAGCTGGCACTATGCTTCCCCAGACTCACAGAACCAGAGACGGCCTGCAAAGGTCTTCCAAGGTAGCATGAGAATCAGCAAAGACACCCAGAGCAGCTACTGGCTGAGTGAGTGTGGAAAGGTGCAAACAGCTTCCTGGCAGAGATAGGGGAGCGACGCACTGACGCTTTATGTCCTCTCATGGCCCAGGTTGGACACAAGCATCGGGCCCCTCCAGTTTGCCTATCAGTACCTGCAGCTGTCTTTCCGCCTTCCCAGTGCCAACGTGTACGGGCTGGGAGAACATGTGCACCAGCAGTACCGCCACAGCATGGACTGGAAAACCTGGCCCATCTTCACACGGGACACAGCCCCCATCGCGGTGAGGTGCCCTGCTTCCTTCTCACCACACATGCTTAGGGACTTGCCACTCCTTTTCCCAAAGAGAGCTTAGCAGCTACATCTGTATCTTATTTTGCCCAGTTGGGATGTGTTTGTGTTGAAGAATACTTGTTTTGAAATTCATAAACTCAATGTTAAAGATTTAGAAACAATTTTACTTCGGGTGGAAAATATAATTGAATGACTAGTACAAGGAATGAAGCAATGCTTTTGCAAAATAATACTATCTAGTTTTTTTAATAAAAACTATTTTATGTATTTATTTATTTATTTTGGTGGTGCCAGGGATTGAACTCAGGGCCTTGTGCTTGCCAAACATGCACTTATTCCCCTGAGCTATGTCCCCAGCCGCCCTGTGTGGTTTTTGTAATTCAATATCTTGAGAAAAACTTCAGCAATTCTTATGTTCTCATCTTCATTGCAATACTCATGGGTGGAAAATGCTTCTAAGCAACTTTTGTGTAGTCTTCAATTGTCAAAGTATGTTTCTGAGACAGCAGTGTTCGCGTTATCTTGGAGGTTGTTAGGAATGTAGGCAACCTAAATCAAAGCTGCTTTTTAAGAAGATCCCCAGGCAAAGCAGGTGAATATAAAAAAGGGAGAAGGTTTTTCTAGTCAGTGCTTCTCATCTTACTTGGAGTGAAAGATTAGAACATGTATTTTTGGCTAATCCAGTATGGCAATGGGCAAACAAAATTTAAAAATCCAAAGATAAAAATTGTAGGCCCAAGTTTTAAATGGAAGAAATATAAAATTACAACTCTTTTAAAGAGCTATGTTTTTTTTTTCTTTTTTATGTATTTGGTACAAGGTCTCACTTGGACTCATAGCAATCCTCCTGTTTTCAGCCTCCCCAGTACTGGGATTACAGGCATGTGCCACCACACCCAGGCTCCGTTGCAGGCTCAGCATGCCCAAGGATGGGGCCAGCGCATCCTGTTTTGCTGGGGATCGAACCCTGGTCCCTGCACTTGCTTAAGCAGGCGCTTAGTCTGCTGAGCTATCTCACTGGCCCCTTGAGTTTCTAAACTCTTGCCCTTCATTTCTGTGTTTATCTTGTTGCTGACTGATAGCAAAGAACTTGAGAAGGTAGCGCGCAAGAGCATCCTCCGACCGGCGCCGGTATGCAGAGCGGCGCCTGAAGCCTTCGTCGTGCTGACGGTGCTTCTCAGATTAGTGCAAGAACTGAGGGAAGCGTGGGAGTGCGGTGCAGCATGGGGATGGGGTGGAGGCGCAGTGTTCCACAAAAACTGAGCACAGCCAGTGACACATTAACTTGTGGCTTATTATCGGATGCAATGGGAGGAGCGTGCTTATCGAAAGGAATGGAAGACGGGCTCCACGCAGCCGCTGAACTGTCGATGGAGGCACCTTACAGATGCCTTTAGATCCTTGTTAAGCTTAATTTTCTACAACTGAAATTACTTTGTGTGTGTGTGTGTGTGTGTGTGTGTGTGTGTGTGTGTGGCTGGCTCAGCCCACTTGGGGGGCAGAGCTGGCATGGCATGTGGTGCTGGGGATCAAACCGTGGTTCCTGCACTTTGCCTAAGCTTGCCTTTCTTTCTTCCTTTTTTCCCTTTTCCTCACTGTTTTTTCTTGCTTTAAAAGCTAAAAAAAGCAACACCTAAGTGTCATGCTTGAGTCTTGCTGGCCAGTGTTAGATCTAGCCAGGGTGCTGGCGGATGCCATTGACCTTCTGTTTTGCCTGATGTGCTGATTCTCTTCCCTTTTTCTGAAATCTATCATTGTCCGTTTAGTGACCTATGCCACGGGCTGATTGCGGTGCCTTCACACACAGGACCTCTGTAAAGCTTTCTGCTCATTGAAGTGTCAATACCTGTAATTTTAGGGCACTTACAGTTATGCACTTGTGCCTCTCTCTCCTTTTATGTCAGGGCTCATTCATTCCTCTCTCTCTCTGTGACAGGTTCAATGTCTTCTCTCTTAGCTTTAAACTTTTATATGTTAGTTTTAGAAGGATTTTTAAACACAGTTGGCATATTGAACTATATTGGGTTATTTTGCTGAATTCAAGTACCTACAAGCTTTGGTCTGGCATCAAGTATGGAAAGGTCCTTTAAAGACTTCTCCAAATACAGTTTCTCTAACTGCAATGAAACACCCACCATCTCTGACAAAACAAAACAAAAGAGGGGGATATAAATAAAAGACCTTTTTTTTTGTTCTTGTTTTGGTATGTGTGTGCAAAACTATGTATGTATATACAAGATAGGATAGACATATGGCTACTTTTTCTTAGTTCATTGGGAAGAAAGGTTTGTACTAATATTGTTTACAAGATATCATGTCTGCATCTAGTCCTCTGAACAACTACTACAAAGACAGCAATATGCAATGTATTAATTATTGTAGCTGTCATACTATCCTGTTTTGAAACTGTTTCATTGCTTTTGTTTTTTCTCATTAAAATGAATAAAAAATTACTAATAATACTATCATCTTCTGCTAAAATTTGATATATATCATTGCAAATATTTTTCAGTTTTTAAAAAATAACTCGATTGAGGGATAAGTTATATACCACAAAAGCTACCTGTATGGGGCAAGAGTCAGTAGTAAAGCAATTGCCTAGCATTCAAGAAACCTTGGGTTTAATTTTCAGTACCACACACAAAAAAATTCATTTGTTTTAAGTGCAGTTCAGTGATTTTTTAGTACATTCATTGTGTTATGCAATTGCCCTCCTAATCAAGTTTTGGGATTTTTTTATAATAATTTCACAACTCCAGTAGGACCTTATGTTCTTCTAGAACTAAACCTAATTCCTATCCCATGTACACACCACCTCAGGCAAACCTAATCTATTTTAAGTCTATAGATCTAGATTATCAAGACATTCTGTATAAATAGATTATGTCATATATGGTCTTTTATGTTGGTTTCTTTCACCTCGCATAACATATATGCTATTTTGTGGCATGTATCAGTATTTTATTTAATGCTGAATATTACTCCACTGTCTAGATATTAACATATTTTGTTTTACAACTCATTAGTTGATGGTTACATTTCAATATCTTTTAGGTACTAATTACTACATTATATCAAGTGTTGACCAAGTATATGCTTAGTGTGGCATTTGATTTTATTTTAAGGTGGATAAGCATTTGTAATGGATAAAAGTATTTCCTTTTCTTTTCTTGTGAGCAGGGCCCAATCAATCTGTATGGAGCACATACATTCTTCTTGTGCCTTGAAGATGCCAGTGGCTTCTCTTTTGGAGTTTTCCTGATGAACAGTAATGCTATGGGTAGGAAGCATCTTCTCTTCCACCACAGAAGTAGGTTTTAGGATACCCATTTTATAAGAGAAATTACTTTTATGTTGAGATCACAAATCTGAAAGTAAGTTCAAATGCAAATACAGCTCACACTTAAAGCCACTTTCATTTAAGACTGCTTCCAGGGTCTCCTTGGGTGAAATGCTTCTCCTAACAGTCTGTACATATTGTTTACAGAATCCATCAGTATATTGGATTCACTGGTAAGCATATTTAAACATATCTATTGTTCCAACGTGTACCAGGCTGTCTGTTGGTAGGCAATAGATTTTGCTTTAACAGACTGTTTCTCACAGCCCAAACTTAATATACTAAATAATCTTCCTTCTCCAGATTCTGGATCATTGGTGAATTGAAAAACATTATTTATTTATTTATTAAAGCTTTAATTGTAATCACATTCGTGAAATAAAAAAAATTTAGCTATCTTTTTGTGTAGGTTACACCACTGATAAATTCCAAAAATTTATGGTTTTAAATGGGTCAGCTAAACTAGAATTTGTTTTTGTTTTTCCTAAACAAAACTCAGTGCTTCTTTAGAATTTTAGTAATCTCGTAATAAAGTGAGCATAGGTGACTTTGACCTCTTGAAGAATAAAACTGAGATTGACTTGGAAGATTCCTTTATTCATACAGACTCCAGAGAAACTTATTAATGATAAGATTCTGATAACTCCTCTTAATCCTTTCAGAGGTCGCCCTCCAGCCAGCCCCAGCAGTCACTTACCGCACCACTGGGGGTGTTCTTGACTTCTATGTGTTCCTGGGAAACACTCCAGAGCAAGTGGTTCAGGAATACCTGGAGGTAGGGCTTTGCATTAGGTGGCGTCATGCATTGACGCTGCCACCCACGCTTATGTCAACTAACAAGGGAAAGACGAATGCTATTAGTAGACAAATGGACTATAAATTCTGGGACTGCAAGTCTTTCCCTCCTTGCATTGTTTATTTTGGTGATATTTTTTGGATGCTTTCTCCATGCTGAAGAGGCATGTGCAAGGCTTGGGAACTACCAGAACAAGGTAGTTGATCACCCAGCTCTCATGGTACTTGTCATCCATGCAGGTCTGATCAATCATTCCAGATACTGACATCCACAAATCAGCAAAGTTTATTCCTTCAACAAATATTGATTCAGGGGAAGGAATTCTGTGCTAACTCTTTACATTTGATTCTAACTATAGAATAAAATGGAACAGTAGATACTATCTTCGCCTAAGCCTTCTGCTTTATAGACAGAAAAATTCAATTACAAAAAGATGAAGTACTTTGTTAAAAATGGTTCATAAAGCAATAGAAAATATGGTTCCAGATGCCAGTGAATTTGTAATAAAATAAGGAAACTCAACACAATTGATATAATTAATTATTGAGTGATTACAGTAGGAAGCATCTGTAATACAGAAAATGTAGTCAATGAGGTACAAAGTGCAGCAGGACTCAAAGACGTGAGCTAGGCACCCTCCCAGTTAGGGCAGAGATTCTTAGGAATGCATGAAGCAGGGCAGGATTCAGCTGGAACCTTGACAACGTGCTGGCTGGAGCAGCTTGAACATTCAAATTCTAAACATAATCCAGTGTTCTTCACCCATCCACTCCTAATCCTATCCACTGTTCTTCTTTTGTCCCTGGCAAATGCCACTATCCAGAATTACAGTAGACAATTATTTCTTTTAAGCTCTGTGAAGGAGGAAACTATATTTTCTCTCATTATATTCTGTGTACCCACATCAGCTCTTTGCACATTGTAGGAAGGAAAAAAAAAATCCTCCCCTAAGCACTAATACCACTAGTCTCCATCCCCAAGATCCAAGATGGTGTGTCACTTGTGAGGCTTTTTTTTTTTTTTTTTTTTTTGGTGCTGTAATTTTGGGGAATGCATTTAAGTACATGATGAAGAGATATGTATATGGTGGAAGTCTGCCAATTACTCTAGAAGATTACTTTTGTCTCTATCATTCTTCGATTTGAAAACTTCAGGAAAAATGAAACGGAGCTAATGTTTCCACTGTGGCATGTGGCAATAGAAATAGCACTTGCTGTAAAGCTTAGGAACTCTTTACTTCTCTTTGTAGCTTGTTGGGCGACCATTCTTGCCTTCCTACTGGAGTCTTGGGTTCCAGCTTAGTCGCAGGAATTATGGCGGCATCACTGGATTGCAAGAGGTTGTGAAGCGAAATCGTGAAGCTGGGATCCCATATGTAAGTTGATACTTTTAGCCTCACTTAGGATCATTTTGTATCTTACTTTTTTGCATCAAATTTAATTTATTAGGAAAAAATGCAAATAGACTAGTAGGTTGGTAGACTGACAGGAATGCATGCATACTTCCTGTCAGAAATTTTGCAGGTTAAATTGCCTATTTGACTATAAAAATATAAACACAGTTCATGAGGTCAAATGGAAATGGTTTTGGATTCTAGCTGTGCATCTTCTTAGCTCCATTCAATGTTGGGCTAGTTAAGTCATATTTCAAGCCTTCCTTTCCACCTTTGCTACATGAGAGTATAAGATTTACTTCACTTAGGGCTGGCCAGATAGCTCAGCAGATTAAATGATTATCTCTCATGATTATGGAGATATTAGCAGCTGAAGAACAAATCATGATCAATCCTTAGGCAGCCACAAGGACTGTTCTGGGCATGGTGGCACCTGTAGTTCCAGTGCTTAGGAGGCTGAAAACAGGAGGATCACTATGAATCCAATTTGTGTAGTGAGATCCTGTACTAAATATATATATATATAATATATAATTTACTTCACTTCATGATAAAAAATAATAATGTGTGAAATGTATATAAAACACTAACCTTAGAGGATGAACTCCATCCTGCCATTTTATGAGAAAGCAACACCTGAGGTGACGTGCCTGAGAAGAGCTGAAGATCATACCAGTGACTGATGGTAAATGAGCTTATCACACTGACCTTGTAAACTCTTTCCAGACTGATCAGACTAATTTTGAAGCTTTGTAATTGAACACAACTTATGATTTCCAGTATCCACCCATAAGCCAACAGATAATTTAGGGAATTTTGATAAGCTTTTCCAGGCAAGGTAGAATACATGATTAGGGAAATTATCCAAAGGCTTTATCTTGGGCTAGCATTTTGGAACTTTGGAACCTTGAAGCAGTCATGTACGTGTTAGAGTGTGAAGGAAGATAGCTCATGTGTAAATGGCATTGACTTGATCTTTGATCCTTGAGTCCCCTCTCAGAGTAGCAGCGAGGGCAGCCAAGGGGATCAATTTTTCCTTTGAGAAATCTGATGCTCATTGTGCTGTTTTGATATTAAAGGAAAATTGATTGCATTTAATTTCATTTCTCTTCTATCTGCTTTTTATAAAACCCAGTTCTGAAGGGAATCAGACCGTATTTTGTCACATTTATTATTTTACAAAGGACCTTCACATTCTTGATGCACCCTCCTCGATCACTACGTTGTAAGGGAGTAAACAGAGACAGTGCATGATTAACAAACTTTTCAGGCTGCACAACTAGCTAAGGAACAGGATCACTACACAGAGAGAGTTTGTTTGACTGCACTTGTAGTACTGGCTCTAATCTGTCTTCCTGCTTCTGATGAGAAGGGCTTTATGGAGATATTAGCAGCTGAAGAACAAAGCAGACTTTCTTCCACAGTGGGAGCTCTTCTTTAGGTGGCTGTAGGGGAGCCTGGGTCCTAAGTGACCTCTTAGTGCCAGAACAAATGATGCCATATTGGGCAACAGGCCACAGGCTGGAGGTTCCTACTGCACTACTACATGAGAAACCCATAATGTCTTCCATAGGTCTTCAAGGTATGTAGCAGACTGGGAAGGAAAGAGCAGCCAGGATCAAAAGGCCTGTCATCAAGCCCCAGCCAGCTTTCCAGCTGCCCAGTCCTGTGATTCTGGGAAATCTCCCTCAGTTCCTTTACATTTCAATCTTCTCATTAAGGACAATGCCCATTCCTGTAGGTTGATGTGCAAACACAAGAAACAATGTGTGCCTGCGAGTTTGGTTAGTTAAAGCTCTCTGTCTGCTATTGATCTTTATTAATCACTCTAGCAGTTTTACAAAGCAAGAAGACCATTTTCTCCTTTTTTATTTTTTTAAATTTAGGGCAGGGTCTACAGAGTCTACAGAGTCTCACTGCGTAGATTGGACTCGTAGTGATCCTCCTGTTTACAGCTTCCCAAGCGCTGGGATTATGGGTGTGTGCCACCACACCCAGTCTCAATCACCATCTCAGTGCACCCCAGGGGCAGGGCTGGCATGGCCGGCCCAGGGATGGAACTCCCAGCCCCTGCAACTGCTTAAGCAGGTGCTGTAATCCACTGACATTTTTTTCCTTTTATGCTGTATTCTGGCTTGGTGTTTGGCATTCAAGGTTGTAAATCATTGTGAAATTACTGATACACTCTTCATAGATACATTTATGAGCATTTTCTATAGGTCAAGCATCCAGGCTTTCAGGTTCCAGAGATGAACATGGTGCAGTCCTGTTGTCAAGTTCCTCTCCACATTTTATGAGGGGGTGAGATAAAGCTACCATGTAAGACCATCTCTTTCTTTTAGAGATGCTTGTTCATGCCTAGGAGTTAGCAGGACCTGGAGGTTTCAGGACTAAGAAACATGGCTTTTTTTTTTTTTTAACAGTCAGAAACTGGAACTGAAACATGTTTGATCAGCAGGATGACCATTCCTCGATTCTAATTGACGTTGCTGTCTTTCAGGATGTCCAGTACTCAGACATAGACTACATGGATGGAAGGAAAGACTTCACTATTAATGAACAGACTTACCCCAACCTTTCAGATTTTGCAAAAGAATTACATGAGAATGGACAGAAATACATAATTATCATGGTATGTTTAAACATGTGCTCTGTTGCCTTGTTTTTTTTTTTCTTTCACAGTACAAAAAATATTTATAAAATAATATTATGTGTCCTTTGTTTATTAGAATCCTGGCATCTACAAGGACCCCACCTACACCGCCTACAACAATGGAAGTATAAAAAGAGTGTGGGCTTTGGACAGCAAAGGCTTTGCAGTCGGGGAGGTAATTTCTCAGAGTAATTTACTACTGTTGGGGGGTGCTTTTTACTTGGGTATCGCGATGGGTAAAAGGTGAGTTCCATCATTGCTTTCTTTAGTATTAATTTAAAGTGTCTTCCTCATTATTATTTGTAAGCCAATAATTGTATGAATCAAAGCAGTAACTTCTGAAGGCTTTAAAAAGCTAAACCTGACTCACTCATACTGCAGATACCTGAGAAGCAGTATGTCCTAGAAGAACTTTCAGTTACTTAAAATCCTTCTGCCTCCAAATTTCCATCCACTTTCATAAAAAATAAAGTAAGTCTAACAGCTCACCTGGGTGTTCACAGGTTGATGTGGAAGATGTCTCATCTGAAACAGTCTTCATTTGTGCAAGACTACTGGATAAAGCCCAGACTTGAGGCTAAGGTAGCAGGTTCAGGCGTTGGAATAGACTGCTCAAGAGCCCCTTCCCAGGAGATCTGAGATCCTAAGACTCTGTACCTTACATCAGAGCATATACATAGTAACCTGTTATTTCAGTTATGAAGAGGGTCAACTCTAGATGATCAGATTATGTGGGAGTTGCTAAAGCAAATGCTTAATGGAAAAAGTTCATGAATCTCCCTGAGTGGCTTACTTTGCCAAATTGTCTTTTCAGGGTCACTCATGAGCTTTCCTTAACTCTGCTAACTTAATTATTTTTATTGATTCTGTTTACAGTACTTCATTTTATTTACTTACTTTTTAATTGAATTTCTATTTCCATGAAGCAGTAGGATAGTTTCTTTTGTTCTGTAAACCAAGATTTCACTTTTTCTGTTTTATATGAATTTTAAAATATCAGGTACACCCATATTCATGTATATATACAAAATCAGAGAGGCTCTAGTCAAATGAAAATTATTTCAATCATTGAAAAATGACTCATCTGTGAGTCATTTTAGTAGTGTAAATATTGGGGTATTGTATAATGAAATATTTGCAGATAATTATAAAAATCAAATTAAATGGTTACCTTAATTGACCAATAACTAAGAAGAATCATTTGGCTTTAAGTGCTGGCAGAGGGACCTGTTGGCGAGGTGGTAGGAATTTGTTATAGGTGTATTTGTTATAATGGAGTTTTCCTTTCTGTTCTGGAGTGAGCACTGCTGTTGGCAATTGCTTTGCTGAATGTGTGTGCTGAGATCCAAAATTCCTTCTTATTCTTTCTTAGGGCCCATCACCTAAAGCAAAGGAGTAAGAGTTCAATCCACTTAAAGTGGGCCTTTCAAGCTCCCATCATACCCTTTTAAGACTTCTTTGCAATGTATCTATTCATTATGTTGCCGAGGGTGAAACTATTCCCAATTCTCAGCCTGGGGGCTTATTGGAATAATCAACAGGAATTTAATTTTTCCCAAAAGTTTGCATCCTATTGATTCAGAATTTTAAGTAACTTGGCTATGGTTCTATCTTTGTGCTATTTGTGGAAGATGTTTAAAGTTATGGTTTGATATATGTACATGAAAGTATTTAATCATTTATAAAATATTGTTTGTGTGCAAATATCAACATATTTATACTAAAATTAATTGGGTTTACTCTAATCTTTATTTCATAGTACATTAAACAATCATTATTTTAAAATATTGTAATTAGACATTCGACTATTTTAAATAGTTCATCTCCCAAGTGACAGAGACATAATAGTTTGATTTTATTATTTTCATAAAAACATACAATATATTTTCATTCAAGCCTTTTTCTTTTTTCTTCCTTTGGTTTTCATATATTTTCACTCTTTTGTTTTTATTGGGGGAGTCACAGGTTTAGAGTCGAAAATGATATGAAATATGGGGTTTCCGGTAAAAGAAATAGTAGCCAAGAGCACTGTACTTGAACAACTGAACTAGGAGACAAATTGCCACAGCAGTTTTTGTTCCCTAGGGCTACCCAGGCCAAGTGGTCTTTCCTGATTTCAGCAATCCAGTATGCACCCAGTGGTGGACAGAGCAACTCAGTGACTTTCATAACCGCCTGGAGTTTGATGGCTTATGGATTGTAAGTTCTTGTACCAGATAGAAATTGCCTTTGAAAGCAAAAATACCAACTTTTCAGGTGAATTTGACCCTAATTTTTAATAAAATACATAGCTCGAGGTCATTCTATTCAAAATTCTCTTGTTTAATGCTGAATTTACATCACTAAACTAGGCTTTTAAACATCCTAGGCATTTATTCTAAATTTGCAACCAACTGGTCATTTCATTTTGGTAAGTTCTTTTATTAGCACATGTTGGTAGTACATGATGTTTGCATTTGTCTTAGGGAGTTGGTACATGTACTCAATATATCTTAATTCTTTTTCTTTCCCTTCCCTTCCTGTACTGATCCCTAGTTTATCTTTAGTTTTCTCTTCTCTCTCTCTCTCTCTCTCTCTCTCTCTCTCTCTCTCTCTCTCTCTCTCTCTCATATTCATGTTTGCAATGAAGAATGATTACATTCATTCAGTGTGATTGGTACATGTACATGATGTCTGACAGATTTTAAATCTCTTTATGCCCCTCTCAAGTACTTGGTTCCCTTCCCATCTGCAAAAGATCTCTCTCCCTATTTCCTTTTATCAATCTTTTATTTGCTCTCTATTTGAACTTTGCCTTCTTCCTATGAGAGGAGCCATGTGGCATTTAAGCTCGTGTGTCTGGTGTATCTCACTTGACATCATGTTTTCAAGAAATACGTATTTTCCTACAAATGTCTCAGTGGTGTCTTCCTTTATAGCTGAGTAGTGTCCCATTATGTATAGATACCACCTTTCCTTTATGCATTTTCTGTTAAAGAACATACAAGCCTCTTCAAAGACTTAGCTGTTATGCATGTCTGTAAACATGGACATGTCTGATTCACTGTAATGAGGTGCTCTAACTGTGCTGGGAAGAAGGGAGGTCTCTGGGTGAAAAGGAATTTCTATTTTTAGCCTCTGAGAAATATCCATATTGATTTCCATATTTGTTGTACTAATTTACACTTCCACTGGCAATGTAAGAGACTTTCTTTTTCTCACAGCTTTGCCACCATTTCTTATTATTTGATTTCCTGGAAATTGCCATTCTCAGTGTTGAAAGTTCAGTTTTGTTTTAATTTTCATTTCTCTAATAGCCAGAAAATTTGAAAAAAATTCACGTGCTTACTGGCTATTTGTTTTCTTCTGAGAAATTTCTGTTGCCCATTTTTTCAATTGGGTCTTTTATTTGGGGGATCTAATTATTTATATATTCTAGATATTAGCCTTCTGTCCAAGGAATAGCTAGCAATTTTTCCCCCTCTCTGGGCAGTTGTCTTTTTACTCTGTTGCTTGTTTCCTTTACTGTTATTTCTTTGCAACTGGAGTTCTGCTCAGAAGGTGCTTTTACATTTTTGCAAGGTGTCAGTTATTCCTCCATTAACTGTCAGCATAAAAACATGACTTTGTTAAAAGTTATGGTTACTGTACTATTATTTGTAGTATTACCTCAAAATATTTTAAGTAATTCAAGGGAGCTCTTGTATTTCTTATTTGTGAATGGAGGGGCCTAGGAAGGGAGAGAAAATTGAAAACATTTTTGTTCGTTTAAAAGACTAGAGATTATTTATTTTTAATCCAACTTAAAGAAATGGATTTTATCGCAATGATATATTATCTTATTGCTCCTCACTCAGTGAAATAAAAGGTGGAGAAACTTATAAAACAGAAATGTTATCCTGTCTTTGCTTTCTCAAAAAAGGTATGAAATTGAAAAACCAACAACAAAATCTTTGAGTCAGCAATTTTTAATTAATAGATTGCAATTAATTTGTAATCAAAGTTATGCAGAACTGAAAATTTCCTGTGAGTAATAGGATACAAAATGACAATCTTACTGAAGGTAGAACAGAGGCCAATAAAATTTGGAGAAATTATCCACAATTCAGATACCACTTCACAAGACACACCTGATACCTTGGCTGGGGTTTTGGTAAGCTTCTCCTAACAGTTTAGCATGAACCAATAACATCTTCCAATTTTGTATGTTGTGTCTTTGAAGGAAATGGATGAAGTCTCTAGTTTTCTCCAAGGTTCTGATCAAGAGTGTGAATCAAACATCTTGAACTTCCCTCCCTTTGTGCCCAGTAAGTGTTCCCCTGCTTGCTAGTGTTGCAGCCACAAGAATCATTTAAAACAATACTCAGTGTGGTTAAGTGCACCTTGCTTCCCTGTCCAACAGGGCCCATCCCCATATACCTCGATCACTCTCCCTCTTGAGTCTCTGTGGCTTTACCTGCTCTCCAATCATATTTTTGCTGCTGTAATCCACGGACAACATGTGGTGAAAGTGTTCGACTGAGCCTGGAGCTCTTTGCACTCCTGGACTCAAAATTCTCTTACCCTAGATCTCAATGAATTAGCACAATAGGTTATGTCTAGTTGCATTGTTCTCACTAGCGATGGCTGAGTGCCTTGAGTTCGGTGCTGAGGCAGAGACCCGGTTTCTTCCATTTTCTGTGTATGAGGCAGTTCCGAGTCACTGTGACAAAGCACCTGGAAAAGTCATTGTAGTGGTGGAAACGTTCATTTTGGCTCACAGTTTTGGGGGCTTCAGCCTAAGGCAAGCTGTTTTCAGGCAGACTAACCAGAGAGGGAGGGCGTGGTCATGCTAAGCCGCTTACTTCAGGGCAATGAGGGAGCAGGAAGAGAAGGAGCCCTGGAACACAACTGTGCCTCAAGGGGCTGACTTCGTGCAGCCCACCCCCATCTCCTAATGCCTGTGCAGCTGTGAATTCATGAGTAGATCAATCCATCACCTTTCAATAGTTCCACCTCTGAAAACATGAGGATATTTTTGTCCAATTTATAATAGTCTTGCTTCCCCCCTCAGAGGCCTCTATCTCCAGCTTCATGGGTGATGGGAGTTTTATGGGTGGGCCTGGATGTAGGTTCTACCCAGTTCATTCACATTCTTTTGCCAGGGTATAACCAGGAAAACGCAGCTTAACTCCAAGGGGGTATTGTCTTCCATCACACCCACCTTATGCTCCTGGAGAGAACACTGGTGGAGTAGCAGTTGGGCGGCAGTATCAGGTTACCTACTTCATGGGTCCTACCTATACTCCTGTGACCAAGGACTAGCAGCAGCTTTGGCCAGCACTGGTCACTGAAGGAGTAAAGGATGATTTGGAGGGAGTTTTAAAGATAACCTCCTGCAAAGTCTGCTCTTTAGTTCCCTAGTTTATTCTTTGTTGCCTTCTACTTATGCTCCATCTCCCCCATACTTTTTGTTCATTTTGTATGAGTTCATCATATTTAATCTCCTACATTTCTTCTTGGCCAAAGCTGTGCTTTGTGTTTTCCTGCAGAAATCCTCTACCTTTCACCTTCTGCTTGCTCTGGCGAGGGCCTCACTCCTTATCTCTCTGCTTTTTGTCTCCTTCCATGTGACCAGCTACTTTCCCTCTGAGCTGGGCAGCTTCTCACATTTTTAAGGTTGCCTAAGACATATTATTAGCATGATAAAGGAAGATATAATTACCTTGAACTCTGGGAAAATATTACTCCTCTTCTTACAATTGAAATGGTTGTGGATCTCATGTCACAGGCTAAGCTAGGTAAGGAATGCATTTGTCTTTATAGTTTATAATCCAGCATAATTTCTGACTCCAAATCTTGGTTCTGTGAGGCTTCTGGGATAAGCTAGGTCTTAGTCTTTCCTTGTTCTATGTTGTCTGAAACTGTGCTTCATGTTAAGGTCCTATATACAACAAAATTTCGTGAAAGAAGGTAGATATGGCCCCCGGTGAGGTCTCCACAGAGAAAAGGGGAAGTAAAGAGATTGAGATTGCCAGTCTTGCAGCAGAAAAGGCTGACCACCTTGGGGTTGAAAAAGGGAAAATATAGTAACCTTGTGGGGTTCTCAGAGCCAGGATTTGAGTTCTTGTTCATGAAAACACTCAAGGGACCCATCTTATTTTTTGTTCTTGTTTTTAAAGTGTGGGATCTGTAATATAAAATTGAAAACCAACCCCCAGTAGTGCATGCCATGCCTGCCCTACCCTGGGTGCTCTGTGCCAGCCTCCAAAACTGGGCATGGTGATGCTAGCCTGTAATCCCAGCACTGGGGAGGCTGACACAGGAGGATCACTTTGAGTCTGAGTTGTGTAGCAAGACCCTGTACCAAATAAATAAAAATTTAAAAAGCAGAAAACATTTTCTTTCACTGCCCTCCTACCTGTAATTGTATACTCACTTCTTGATTAAATAGATATAGGTAAACAATCTGTGCTTTATGCTTAATCTCAGGCCAAGAGCCCATTGTGCAACAGATTTTTTACTTGCTTTCACTCACCATCATCCTTAATGAATTCAAGGGGGTGCAAATTAACTTTAGAAACACATGGAGGAGCTCAGGGTAGGCCTCAGGTAGCAAGTGGTATTTAGGAAAGAATTCAAAATCTGGAAAAGATTTTGTAGAGTGGAGATTGGGAGGGAAGGTACAGCAACCAGTTAGAAAAAGACTGGGTGAGGATTTTGTTGAAAGTTGGTAGACAGAGAAGTGCCTCACCGATGTTGTTTCCTTCTAGGCATTCTGGACAGCTTACTGTTTGCCCGAACCCTCTGCATGGACACGGAGTTTAACTGGGGCCTTCACTATGATGTCCACAGCTTATATGGCTACTCCATGGCAAGAGCTACAGACACGTAAGGACTTGACTCTTGCCTGATTCTGGATTTGGAAGGTGGGAGGTGGAGTAATTTTTTCTCTTTCATAGGTATTAAAATATTGTTTATAGTTATCATGATATAGAGACTGACCTAGGCTGGGGATATAGCTCAGCCTTTGTAAGTACCTGCCTGGCAAACACAAGGTGCTGAGTTTGATTCCTGGTACCAAAAAAAAAAAAAAAAAAAAAAAATTAAGAAAAGAAAAATTGAAACTGATTTAATAGGGTACTTTAGAGTCTCTCTCTCTCTTGTAAAAATTTGGTTTCTATAGAGGGCTAATCTTTTCTTTATTTTTATTTTTAGGGAAGGGTCTAAAGGATGTTCAGGGTCTCACTACTAGATTGGACTCATAGTGCTCCACCTGTTTACAGCCTCCCCAAGAGCTGGGATTACAGGCATGCACCACCACACTCAGACTCAATTGCTGTCTTAGTGTGCCCCAGGGGCAGGGCTGATATGGCAGGCCCAGCGATCGAACCCTAGCCCCTGAGCCTGCTTGCAGGTGCTTTCATCTGCTGAGCTATTTGGCCGGCCCTTAATAAGACTTATGTTTATTATTATTATTCAAGACTCCTCAGAGGCAGAACTATGTGAGGCACTTAGACCCCAGCTGGAAGTCAACCCTTGCCAGGTTCTGTGACAGGATATGGTAGAGCCACCACACTAGGGTTGCTGGGCTTTAACAATGAATAACAAATCACCATCATCCAGTATAAAAGGGAGACTGATATTTACTGCAAATGATTCCACCCTTCTACACCTCGTCATACCAATTTCATTAGTGAAGGCTTTGTGAACTGAGAAACAGCCCCTCCTCTGACCCAGTTCCTTCCTTAGGAAAATGTAAAATACAATGTTTACTTCTATGAAAGCTAGAAAGTTGGGTTTAAACTTCAGACACTTTTAAATTTAGATCTTCAACAAAGACGAGGAGGCTTGCCAGAGAGCTCAATGGATTAAAGCGCCTGCTTAGGCAGATGCAAGGGCAGAGGTTCATTTCCCAGTATGCCATGCCAGCCCCACCCCCAGAGTGTGCCAAGAAGGTGATTGAGACTGGGCATTGTGGTGTGCACCTGTAATCCCAGCGCTTGGGAGGTTGAAAACCCGAGTCTGATCTGTGTAGTGAGACCCTGTAGACCCTGTACTAAATAGATTAAACAAACAAACAAACAAAATAAACAAAAAAAAAACAAAGAGGAGGAAACTGAAGGTTTGAATGGTTATTTGGCATCTTCAAGCGAAAGAGCTTAAATCTGTCTTCTCTGCTTTTCTGGTGATTCTGGAACTCCACGTGGGCAGGGACTGTGACACACTCTTCATTTTACTTGAATGTTCTATCTTGGAGCTAGACAGTCAGGATTACTTCTTTGAACCTTGGCTCCGGGAGTCCTTGAGGCTCCATTCTAGCTAGCGTCTTGCTCTTTCCTCCTATTCCTTCTCACCTCTGCATCCCTCTGTATCTAGATCACGTCCATCTGTTCTTTCCCTGAGGAAACTTGGGGTTCAGTCCCGAGGATTCTCCTCTTTCCATTCTATGCCAAACTTGTACATAAGTGTTTAGTTCTACCCATGGGTTTTATTGTAACTTATTTAAATGATATCAAAATTTATAATTCACTGATTTTCTGACACAAATATACAAAATTATCTTCTCAAGCTGGCTGTCTTATTGGCTCACACAGCATTTCTGTGTCTCTGTTCCCTTTTGTTCAGTTAACCTCTCTACTCTGGCTGATCATTTGTGAAACTCTTAAATTCCCTGCCTCAGCTGGTAGTGACACTATTCCTGTCTCCTAGACTCCCAAGTGAGAAACTTTGGATCACCCTTTCTTTATTTAATGTTCCCATAGAACATCAGCTTGCTGCTTTTGAGACATCACTATAGCCATCTCTCATCCTTTTCCCATGATGTTATGATTTGCATCTAGTTGTCCCCTGAAAGCCCCAAAGGGGCAGGGACTTCTAGAGTTTGAGGTTAACTCATGATCCACTGAGATTATGGGTGTGAGTGTTACACCCACCCTGGGGCAGAGAGCCTGAATGCAATTGTAAGGGAGGCAGACTTGCTCTCTGTAGCCGTTGTTGCCACTACTCCTTCCTTTTGCTCTCTGCTCTTGGCCGCTGCCATGAAAGGTTGCTCTCTGCCCTGTGCCACTCTGCCTTGGAGCCAGCCAAGTATGGACTGAAACCTCCAGTAACTCTGAACTAAATAAACCTTTCCTTCCTTTATTTTAGCTGTCAGGTATTTGTCCCAGCAACGAGAAAAATGTAACTGAGACACATGACCTCTTCTTAACTAAGGCCATTATCATCTCCCACTTAAATTGTTACACTTGGCCCTAGGCCAGTCTCCCTTGGCTTTAGTTTCTAATCTTTACCTTTTATTTTATTCTCTACCCTTTATATTGCACATGTGGCCTTAGGATCAATGTCAATGTTGCCAGGAAATGTATTACAAATTAACTATCTTGGACCTCAATTCAGACCTTGGGAACCACATTTTATATTTTCAATTTTTTAAAAAATCTTTTATCCATTTATTTATTTGGTACAGAGTCTTACTACGCAGCTTGAACTCATAGTGATCCTCCTGTCTCAGCCTCTCTAGTGAGGGGATTACAGGCACCCCCCCCCCCATGTCCTGTTTCAAAGTTTTTGTGGTGGCTGGGATTCTGGGGCCAGCACAGAATGCAGTACCAGGGATCAAACCCAGGTCCTTGCACTTGCCAGGAAGGCACTTAGACCACCGAGCTATCTCACCAGCCCCACAATCTGTATTTTAACAAGATCTCTGAGTGTACTAAATGCATGATAAAATTTAAGATGCACTATTTTACTCAGCAGTAAAAGCAGTCCTTCTGAGGCACAAATTTTCTCATTTTTCCCCTGGTATAACATTATTTGTAGACAACTGTTTTCTCTATAATAAAGTTTAATCATCTTAGCACAAGCTCTGAGATAATTCATCACATAAACTTCTCATATGTTTGCTACTCCTTCTGTTTTATGGTCTAGTAATGTTCAACTTTTTGTTGCTTGCAAGTTTAAATGCTGTTCATTCTTTCATGTGCTATTTGCCCTGTTCAGGGCATCCTTCCTTGGCCTGTTCATTGTGTAAACATGTACCTGTCTAAGTTATCAGTCTGGGAGCCTTCTTGAAAGTTTAGGAAAGTACTCTTTCTCTTTTCTTGTGCTATTTCTCATATTATAATAATCTCAGTATGCAAAGGAATTAATCATAATTTTTAGATGGTCATTGCTTTTCTTTCTGGACTGCAAGTTCCTTGATGGCAAAGTTACCCCTTTGTCCTTATCCTTATGAGTAATATGTGTACTGCAGACATGCTACAGCAAATTCCTGGGCTGAGAAGGAAAGGAGTGGACCAGGCACACAGAGAACCTGATGGGTTAGAGTAGAGACTGGGTCTGTTTTTATTGCCACATGATTTTGCTGTCAGGGCTTTTCTGGGATGTCCAGGTGAAAGAGAGAGAGAGAGAGGGAGAGGGAAAGGGAGAGGGAGAAGGGGGAGGGGGAGGAGGAGGGAGAGAGAGAGAGGGAGAGGGGGAGGGAGAGGGAGAGGGAGTCGGAGGGGGAGAGACAGGGAGCAGGAGTGGGAGCAAGAGCAAGTCTGGTGAAGTTCATGCACAAAGTTGTGTCTCAGCTAAAGCAAAACCCCAAGAAGAATGATATCTAGCTCTGATTTTTACCTCTTGTTTTCCAGCTTTTCTCTCTCTGTCTGTCTCTCTCTCACTCTCCACTCTCTCTCTCTCTTGCTCACTCGCTCACTCACTTGCTCTCAAATGTGAGGTTTAGATGACTTGATGTTTTCAGTAGTCCCTTCATGTTCTGATAACATCAATTTACAGATAATCCTAAGGATTAGAAATGGGAGGGAGAGTGAACCAATGGTCAGAAGGAGTCAGGACAGATTGGAGGAGAGAACGAGTTCCAAATCACTTTGTTTCCAGCATCTCCCTGCCTTGAAAGTTCTACACAATCGTGAATGGGTTGGTTTGAGTATTCTAACAGCTGTGATTAATAGTTATATGGTAACAGAGCGAGCAAGTAGGTGACTTCTTCCTGGTCTTTAGGTATGAAACAGAGCTGGATTTAAAAGGAAAAATGTTTACTCTGTATTCTGGATATTGTGTGAGCTAAAGTCATAGGACTGAGGAAGACTTGGCTAAAACTTAACTGGAAGCATAGTTGGGACACAGAGGTCAGTGGGCAAGTGGGGAAGGGCTAAAAGCAGAAAGAGAACATCCTGTCAGGGATTGTGGCATGAACTAGAGCTGATAAAGGGAAAAGATTAATGTAAGGATCTCTGAATAAGGCTTTGTCCTCAAAGTTGGGAAATCTGAATGTTATCTAAACTATATTGGCCTAATGACCTCCTCTAAACTGCAGCTTCAGCTATCTTCATCCCTGTTTCAGTTTCACTCTCCATGCACTGGGCTGTGTTTCTTCCATGACTGATGACTGCAGAGAGCAATAAATCTCTCCTGCTAATAAGGGTGGATTGTCTGTTAGCCTATACCAAGTGAAAGTGAGGACTCAGAGGTCCCCTGTGCGTGCTGGTGTTGTGCCAGTAAGGATTATGCATGAGCAACAAGGCATGGAGACAAGTGAAGATAAAAAAAGGCTTGTTGTATGGGAGAAAATGAGGCAGAAACACAACATGAGGAATCCATCTATTTCTCACTAAAAGGGCGAGACAACAGCCAGATCTCATATTCAGGAGCATTGCATCCTGGGAAAAATTTGGGGAAGTCTGGAATAAAATTTGGAGGTCTGTGTTGTCTTATACAAAATTGGAAACCTTAGCAAGAATTGGGAAAGAAGCTATTAAGAATACTAGCTAGTCATGTTTGGAGTGCCTGTCATTCTGGTATTCTGAATATGGGCGGCTTGTCATGACATGCCAGTTACTGCTAAGATGTCTCTCAGGTAGGTGGATGTTCAAGAAGAAGGGGGTGGTGAATGAAAGCAAGAGACAGGAAAAGGAATATTGTGGAACTGTCCTGCTTCAAGGTTGTATATGGTGAGATTTTTGGACTTACGTGCAAACATGAGAAATATATAATTCTTTATCCTATTTTTAAAATATAATCTAATTTTTAAATGTTTTTTATCATATTATGTAGGGACTTAAAGTTCAACATATCAATACTTGATGAAAAATACCTGTTCCTTTTGGCCCTAACCTTCTAAGGTCAATTAAGACTCAGGATATATGAGAACTTGTACTGTAACGTCATGTACCTCGGTAGTGTCCCAAATTTTCTGATCAAGAAGATTATGGGGCCAAAGAGGAAAGTGATCGATGATGTAGAGTGTGCCTAAGGAGAGTCACATGGGGAGAAGACACTCTCTCAGGCTTTCACAGAGAGCACATTGGCCAAGCAATGGCCGTGACTCATCCACATGGCTGCACTGACAAAGGTTCTACAATCTGAGGTACAGGATCTCAGCATAAATCCTGAGGGCATTTCACTGACCTTCTCAGACCAAAAAGCTACAACTCTTGTTGCACAGGTCCTGCTTTACCTTGGTCTTAACCATCCAGTAGAAAAGTATGAAGACGAAATATAGGAAGTAAAGCCATGCTGTTATGTTGAGCTGTGGGGGACTCAGGTCAATAATTTCTGACATTGTCAGTTAAACAGAAGACCCAATGCTATTATGGACTACTGGACTCTTTTGGAATATTTTGCTGAGTTTACACACCTATAATATTCAATAACAGAACTTAGAAAAAATGGGGTATAAAGATGAATGTCCATTTTGTATCTGTCTATTCAAAGTGGTTAGGATAGATATATAGTTGCATTCTCTTAATGAATAGAATGATTTGTTCTAATGGTGTTTGTAATTAGGATCTCAAGTTTGCATCTTGTACAGCAGTTAACCACTAAGAAGAATATTTGCAGTGTGTTATTTGTTGAATCTGTACTTCGATTTGATTTGAAACTGTCTCATTGCTATCTGTTTATCAATAAAATTTTGAAAAAAAAAGAATGCTAGCTAGTTTGCACACCTTGTTTTTGACACCATGGAGGTATCCTCAGTTTGGTTGGAGCACCCATTGCTGTCCTTGGTATAAGGCAAGCTCAGAGGTTCACGCTCATCTCATATTCAACTGACTGTATTTCTTTTCAGGGCCATGGAGACCATCTTCCCCAGTAATAGGAACTTCATCTTATCTCGTTCAACTTTTGCTGGATCTGGCAAATTTGCTGCTCATTGGCTGGGAGACAATGAAGCCACATGGAATGACCTGCGGTGGTCAATCCCCAGTGTCCTGGAGTTCAATCTGTTTGGGATTCCCATGGTGAGTCTCATGCCCAACCAAGAAACTCAACTGTTTGTCCTCTGAAAACTTTTCATTACCAATATTTGAGGATGTTCGAAAACTGAGAAGCATACGTCCCTTTGTGATAAGTATTGGAAAAATTGATTTCTCTGATTAATTTGTTTTTTAAAAATAGGATGATAAATGATTATCACTGGGGGATCTGATTGTTTTAGTTTAATATATATTCTAGATATTAGTCCTCTGTCTGAAGAACAGCTGGCAATTTTTTCCCATTCTGTAGGTTGTCTTTTGACTCTGTTGGCTATTTCCTTTGCTGTGTGTAAACTTTCTAATTTACTATGTTGGTTGATTCTTGATGTTATTTCCTGTGCAACTTGGGTTCTATTTCGAAAGTATTTTCTATGTCTATGTCCTCAAGAGTTTTGCCTATTTTCTCTCCCATCAGATTGTTTTTCTTTTAACATCTAGATCTCTGATCCATTTTGATTTTAGTTTAGTATGTGATGAGAGATATGGGTCTAGATTCAATCTTTGCATATGGACAGCCAGTTTTCCGTTTCATCCATGGAATCTCTGGAGATAAGAAAGAGACCATGAATAAAATATACTTGTATCAATGAAAAAAATCCTATCCAGAGAGCATCACTGAATAGGGAAACATGAAACCAGGAACTTAACAGTGAGAAACAGCCCTCTTTATTCAGTTGTCTACAACCATTGTCTGTAAGCAATGTCTACACCACTATTCAGCCTTCTTCTAAGTTGGTTCTATGGTGTATACTTCTTTCTTCTGTTGAGTGGTGGGAGGCTTGTCCTGGGACTCTGGGGTCTCTTTAAATATTGAATGAGGGCAATAGAAGTTTCTTTCATCCTACAAGAAAACAGCCAGTGCTTTTAGTTCTCCTAGTGACCACTGTTCTCTCTGTGTGCTAATTCTCTAGGTAGGTGCTAACATCTGTGGGTATGCAAGAGATGTCACAGAAGAGCTCTGCAGAAGGTGGATGCAGCTTGGAGCTTTTTACCCACTGTCAAGGAATCACAATGGTCCTGATTTCCGGGTAAGTTCCCAAGAGAAGTGACGACAGCTTTTTGGATTGTATAATCTACTTGTTCGCAAAGGAGGTTTGAGGAAAATGGTACAGGTTGACCCTAACTGCAGAAAAATGATCATTTTTGGTTATAAACCTAAAAAGCAGATATGAAAGTGTGTTAAAGTTTCTGTCACTCTCATTATCATTTTGTAGGAGATTTACCTTTTACTTCAATTCATACAATGGAAACTACCATAATATTGGGCAGTGAGGAAGAAGGCTTTAAAGGAGAGGTACATCAGTGACCTAAACAATCTTCACTTTGTTGTGATAGAACAGAGCACTTTTTGTAATAGTTTGGGAGATGACCCCTAACACACACATAGTACTTCCCATGATCCATCTCACCTTTATCCAAATTTAATTTTTTTATAAGCAAGTATGTAGAAGTGGATCCAAAGTCCCTTGAGGTAGTTATGATAATGGCAAGAGGAAGTAAGGTAGGCTTCCTTTCTTTAAATGAAATAATCTGCTACTGAAATAATTCAAATTGAATGATTTAACTTTTAATAGACTTATTAGGGTGACTTCTGGTTGATAATTTAGGTCCAGCTTTTGGTTTTAGTAATGACAATTGTTAAACCTGGAAGGATTACCAGTAAATCCTTTAAAGTGTTTTATCTTTGCACTTTCCTGCCATTCCTGGCCAGGGAGAGAGAAATGAACTATTTCTGATTGTCTAAGCAGGTGGCTACAAGCAGGTAGGCAGGTGCTGTTCATGGAGAAATGGCTTAAAGACTAATATGAATAAAAACACTCAGCTTATGCAGGTGACTAGGGTAAAAACTACTAGTTTTCTTTTTTTTAAACTAGCTCTTAAAGCATTATGCATGTCAGTCCAAATTTAAATATAGAAAGTAAAATGAAATAGAGTATTTAAACTGCAGTTTATATAATTCAGTTTATTCACAGCATCATCATTTTAATCTGTGTTTAACACAAGTGATTATTGGGCCATTTTATGTTTCTTTTTTTCCTACCAACTCTTCAAAATTCAGTATGAATTTTACAATTTTATCACATTCCTGTATATTGCATTTTTAGCAGTTAAAAGCAATATAATGACATGTAATGAGAATACTATTTTATATCAATCCAGTCATAAAATGCATATTTAAAGTAATTACACATCAGTAAAGTTAAAGATTTAGTCCCCCAGTCTTGGACACTTTTCAAGTGTTTAATTATACCTATATAACAATGACCACCACAGTGAACAAGGCAGCGCTTGTCTTTCTCAGTGGAGAACTAGAGTGACTGGTGCCAAGGGATATTTAGTAGCAATAATACAGTCTGAATGCAGCCCGGGTTTTTTCTATACTTTCCACATTGTAAAGAAAGTGAGCAAATGAGTGCCAACCAAGGATGGAAAATTTCCATCTCCTAGCTATAAGAAAGTTAGCTTTGTTTGCTACAGGATTTAAATAAAATCTGCTAAAACCTGTTATGGTTTCTTTACATATCTTTATACTGTAGAACAAATAGAGGTCACTATCCTCGGGAGAGAGAAAATAAAACAAAATGTGACAATGAAAGTATTATAGAAGAAAAGGTCTGGTTTTATCATGACATAAATGTTTAAATTGCAAGTTCTTTAAACTGCATGGAAAAGAAAAGATGACTTACAGATCATGGAAGCAGGCAATATGGCTTATGAAGATGGATTGGAAACGTTTTTAGCAGTAGAGCTAAGTTTAATAGAACTTATTAATATTTTGAAAGTGAAATATTATGAAAATCCACATTAAATAAATTGGGGTAGTTCTGGAACATGCAGGGCCTACTATGGCTCCTTTATGTACATGCCACCCCCGTGGGGCCCCCGTGTCATCCTGAGGCTGATGTCGTCTGCCCTGAGTACACACATACCAGTGCAAACTAGGCCACCTCCCTGCAATTCTATATGAGGAGAGTCATGCAAACTCTCATTTGTTTTTTCAGTTGTAAAGCAAGGAATAGAACCAAGATCCCTTCAGTTCTGGAAATGCTCTTGATGTTCCCAAGGTTGGAGAACATGGCTGTTTTCATTTGGGAAAGTTTCTTATCATCGGAGGACTTTTAAACTATGATAAGAAGAAATAGTAATTGCTTCCATTTACTTCTAGGACCAGGACCCCGCTGCCTTTGGTTTTGACTCTCTGCTATTGAATTCCTCCAGACATTATCTGAATGTCCGCTACATGTTGCTGCCCTATCTCTACACCCTCTTCTACCGGGCTCACACTCTGGGGGAGACAGTAGCAAGACCCTTGGTGCATGAGTGAGTTCTCTGATCACCCTTGGCATATCATTCCACTGTACCTTGGTAGTGGTAACGAGATCAGCGGGGACACAGTGGGTTGTTATCCTGTCTGGAAAATTCTGCGTTTTTCACCCTGCTGTCTATTCTCAAGGTTCTACCAGGACCCAAACACATGGGACGTGCATGAACAGTTCTTGTGGGGGCCTGGACTCCTCATCACACCTGTTTTATATGAAGTACGTTTGTAATCTAAATAATGGAGTGGGGTATTTCACTTATCCTCATGGCTTTATAGCTGAAAAAGCTAGATCCCAAGTATGTATGATGACATTTAAATTTAAAAATGAATATAAATGAGACATCATGAAAGTTTAAAAATTAAAACAATAGTAATTCTTGGTCCCAATGTCTTAGAAAATTGAACAATTTCCGTGCTGTAAAATTGCCTTGAAAATTGAGTCTTTAGCCACATGGCTGTGGCACTGATATGGCCTTTCAGTGCTTTGTGATATGTGTGCTGGCCATCTGTCTGTGTTTCCCCGTCCACATGGGTTGTTCTCTGAGGGTTGGGTTGGGTTGGCAAGGGAGGTTAGGTATGAAGAAGAGCAGGAAGTAGAGTGAAGGCCATGTATGAAGGACCATGCCTGTCTAACATGAAAGTGATTTGAGAAAGCAAAGAAATGTCAAGTATAGAAGAAGGGTCAGGTGTGAAGTATTGCCAATGTGAGCATGTCAAGGTCCTCTGAGTGGGTGTTTCAGGTGCATCATCTGATGACAGGTCCCGCTAGCCAAGAAGTATCCCAGTTGGAAAGGTCTCTGAGGGTTTGGCTGTCTCAGGCTCCTCCCAGCTCTCAGCTTGCATGAGTGCCAACCAAGGATGGAAAATTTCCATCTCCTAGCTATAAGAAAGTTAGCTTTGTTTGCTACAGGATTTAAATAAAATCTGCTAAAACCTGTTATGGTTTCTTTACATATCTTTATACTGTAGAACAAATAGAGGTCACTATCCTCGGGAGAGAGAAAATAAAGGAGTGAACACTGCATTTTCCCTAGAAAATGTAGGAGTATTAAAGCAAAGCAAACTTAGTATCTAGGCACAGCTTTGCCTTGAAAAACTCCTCAGCCTCTCTAAACTTCTATATCTTTCTGCGTAGTTCTGCTGAGACTTGTTCAGATGACCATATGTAGCGAAGGTGCTCTGTACATTGCCAAGGGTGATGCTAATGTGCACACTGCTTTTGTCTCCCCAGGGTGTGGACCACGTGAAAGCATACATACCTGATGCCATCTGGTATGACTATGAGACTGTAAGTGAAGCAGCCCCAGCTCCCTCTGAGATCTGTCTCTAGCAGCTTTGGAAACCTGGCATAGGATAATACGATAAAGTTTTACTTTTAGTTAATAAATTGTGGGTGCCTTTCGGTAAGCTGTCTTAGGGCATTAGGAGAGTATAACAAAATATCTTATACTGGGTAGAGTGTATTCCTGAGTTGTTCTGGAAGTCAGAAAGTCCAAGGTCTAGGTAGAGGCAAATTCAGGGTCTGGTGAAGGTTCACTTTGCTACATCAGTGGCAGCTTCTGACCAAGACTTCATGACTTTGTCAATTACCCAAAACCTCCCCATCTGGTGATACCATCACAGTTGGATGTTAGGCTTCAATGAATTTTAGAGAGACATCAGCCTCCAGACCACAGCAGAAGACCTTTCCAAATATACAAGGAAATGATTTAATATGTGTAATAGGTTTGTGAAAATTCACTATATCAACATGGTTACTGTTTGGCTATTAGCATTATTTATTGAATTTTATGATAACAGAGAAGTTGATGTCAGTTGTAAAAACAATGTTTTAGTCAGATTTCCATTATTATGGCAAACACTTTTGATGATCAACTTATACAGAAAATGGTTTATTTGGGTTCACAGTTAGAAAGGTTCTGGGTCTTGACGGACTGGCCTCATTGCTTTGGGCCTAACATAGCACATCATAATCAGGAGTTTATGGTGGAGCAAAATCGCCTCACTACCAGGAGGGAGAAGAGAGAGAGAAGAGACTGGGGTCCATAGTCCTCAAGGAAGACACACTCCCAATGACCTGAAACTTCCCGTTAGGCCCCACTTCTTAAGGTTTTCACCACCTCCAAACAGTGTGAAGCGAGGGACCAAGCCATTAACACCTGGGCCTTTGGGGAACATGGAAGACCCAAACAGTACCACAGAGTGTGGAGACAAGAAAAGGAAGCAGGTGACAGGAGTCTGAGCTCTGCCCTCCACTACCTGTGTACCTTGAGGAAGTCACTCCACTCAGGGGTCTTCAGTCTTCTCTTCTATAAGAAGTGAGGACTGAGCTGAAAGATGTCTAGGGGCTTCACAGCCTTCACAGCCAGTTTTCTGCTTTGCCTCCCTTCTGCTGCTTAGGGAGTGGCTGTTCAATGGAGGAAGCAGTTTGTGGATATGCTACTCCCTGGGGACAGGATCGGGCTCCATCTTCGAGGGGGCTACATATTCCCTACCCAGCAGCCAAACACAACCACGGAGACCAGGTAAGCTCTTGTTTGTTTTAATCCTGGTGCTCTACCACACAGGGCATTATGGGGGCAGGCGGGTAGGTCCAAGACTGAATGGACCAGGGAAAAACCTCCATTCAGCAGTCTTCCTCTCCTTTTAAAACTGGTTCTGAATTGACATCTGAGTTCTGTTTCATGGAGACAAAGGTAGAAGCAGTTCCTTTTTCTATCCATAGTTCTCCCCGTGTGGTTTATAGCATGTCAAAGAGGTTAACGATGGGCATAGACTTTGCTATGCCTAAGATTAGAAATCCAGGGAGGATGCTAACTGGACTTTAAAGCATTATTATGGGGGTTAAATGAATATAAATATTAACACATATGTATGTATGTGTATATGTGTGTATGTATGTAGGCAGTATGTAAGATACTTAGAGAAGTATCTAGTACGTGGGCGTACCCAACAAAATACTCATTATAATAACCACAAACCCAGATTTCAGCAGGAACTGCCTCCCTCTATCATTCTCCTTATGCTTTCTCTGCTGAATTGTGCTATTTGGAACGCTTGAGTTTCCACACAGTGTTACTATTTCCTCAGTCTCTGAGGCAGATCCTGGGGGCCCAGTCCCTGGGACATCAACAGGGCTGACTTGGCCTGCTTTCTTCTGTTCTTCATTTGTTGAAACTGGAAATTGCTCTTTTCAGCCGGAAGAACTCCCTGGGACTCATTGTCGCCTTGGACTACAAGAGAGAAGCAAAGGGAGAGCTGTACTGGGATGATGGTGCGGCTAAAGGTAGACTTCCTCCTGGGGCCACTGCTGCTGCTAAGGAGCTATCTCTGTTATCATGTCACTTATTCCTATAGCTTACAGAAGTGAGTCAAAGGTTATTCCAAAAGTTTCACAAGCCAAACAAAATGGAAATAAATAGACTTCAAATGTGCATCTCAAGTGCTACAGATGCTACCAAACCAACAGCAGTTGTGGCATCGGGCTTGCTTTTTCTCCCTGTGGATATCATTACTAACACAAAGCAACGCATTTTGTGAAAAGCTTTGTAAAAGTACTTCTTCAGAGACAATAGAGGTAGAAGGATCTAGATTGTAGTGTCTTTTCTCATTGCAGTGATTTCATATTAAAACCTTATTTAAGCATATAGTTTGTCACTATATAAAAACCCTGCCCTGGATAGAATTAGATAAAGAGCAAAATAAAGCTCAATAATAAGAAGAGAAGAGATGGATCTTTCTCAAATGGGAAGGGGACTAAGACATGGCAGGAATGAGAGCGAGGGCAATGAAAGTAGATGAAGAAAAGAAATTAAAATGTGTAATGAATATGTTCCAGCTTCACACAAGATACATAAACATGTACTGTGAACATGAAGTAATAAAAATAAATAAATACAGATAAAAGAATTAAAATTTGTTAATGTTTATTTACTACTTATGATTATATTTATGCAAGGAATAAAGATGAAAGTAATACAAATGATGCCTTTGAAGAATTCATCCGCAGTCTAGTGCAAAACCATAATCTGCATGAGATACCTATAGCACAAGTCAAAATGTTATAGAAAAATAGTGATTCAAGGTGCCATGAGTGTTTGGCACTCATGGTCCAAGTGATTCATGAACATTTTGTGCAGGTTGATAAAACTGGGCCGATCTCAGATGAGCAGAATTAGATCCAATGGCAATTTAGAGGAAGAGGGTGACTCCCCAGTTCCTCGGCCTCTTATACTCATGGGTACACACATCTCTCTCTTTCAGATGCTGTAGCTGAAAAGATGTATATTACGTATGATTTCTCTGTTACTTCTGTAAGTACTGATTTCAAGGGACAGGTGTCTTACATGCGATCATGTAGTGATTGCTTTTTGAGTTTTGGTGTTGTATAGATGTGTGCCCAAGTGAAAGAGGGACTGTTTGATTTTGTGGGTCCCAGAGAAGATTCTAGTTAGCATGAAAATGCATTGTGAGTATCACACACATGAGTTCTGCACTGAAACTCCACCCCGACCCTCTCCCCAGAAAAAAAGTCACCACCTTTGATCTTACGTGTTGGGTTGTGACTTCCAAAACATGTCATTGAGGAGTGCAAGTATGGGGTGTGAGTGTGGGTGAGGCACGAAATACCATTTTTTTAAAATTAATAATGTTGTTGCATAGGTCCTGCTTTGCCTTGGTCTTGGCCATCCAGTAGAGAAGTGTAGGAACGAAGTATAGGATGTAGAGCCATGCTGTTGTGTTGAGCTGTGGGGGAGTCAGGTCAACAATTTCTGACATTGCCAGTAAAGCAGAAGACCCAATGCTATTGCGGGCTGCTGGACTCTTTTAGAATATTTTGCTGAGTTTACACACCTATAATATTCAAATGATGGAACTTAGCAGAGAGAGGGGATACAGATTAATGTCCATTTTGTATCTGTGTATTCAGAGTGGTTGGGATGGATATATAGTTGCATTCTCTTAATGAATAGAATGATTTGTTCTAATGGTGTTTGTAAATGGGATGTCGAGTCTGCATCTTGTACAGCAATTAACCACTAAGAGGAATGTATGCGGTGTGTTAATTATTGAAACTGTCCTGCCGATTTGATTTGAAACTGTCTCATTGCTATTTGTCTATCAATGAAATTATGGCAAAAAATTAATAATGTTTGTGATACATGATTATATTTATTGTGGCTAGTTGGTATATGTGCAAGACACATCTTAATTCTCTTTATGTCCTTTACTTCTTTTGTTCATCTCTTGGGCTCTTTTTCATTTGTAAAAAAAAGTCTCTCTCTCCTCCTCTTTCCTTTTATATTACTTTTATTTTGCTCTTTTATGTATTTATACTTTGGATTGCTCATATAAGAGGAATCCCATGATATTTAAGCTCATGTGTCTGATTTATTTCACTTAGCATTACAGCTTCAAGGTACATCTATTTTCCTACAAGTGACTCAAATTTATCATTTTGTTATAGCAGAGTAGTACTTCATTGTGTAGAGATATCTATTTTCTTTATCTATTCGTGGACAAATAGGCTGCTTCCAAGATTTAGCTATTATGAATTGTGCTGCCATAAACATAGGTATGCGTGTGTCACTGTGATACGACACCTTCGACTCTTGGGAAGGTATCTAGAAAGGGAACAGCTGGGTTGAATGGAATTTCTATGCCAGTTTGCTAAAAAGTCTCTGTACTGATTCCATAGTTGCTATACCAGTTTGTGCTTCCACCAACAAGACAAATGCAACTTAAAACAGCACTAAGATTCCATTTACTCCAGAGACAATGGCAATCTTCAAGAAATCAAATAATAACAAATTCTGGTGAGGCTGTGAAGTACCTCTTTAGGTTCATTTTTGACTTTATAGTTCCTGGAGCTTGGTTTTGGGCCCAGGCATCATCAGGTAGCTTTGAAATATTGAAGGATATGGATCATCATTTACTTCATTTCTATTTTACAAGGGACTGAGAGGAGAACAAGGTACAGGATCTGTGGAAAATGGGAGAATTTTAATTTACTCTTCTTAGGAATATGATCATATATGATCAGGGATTTATTTCTCAGGGACTATTATCCCTTATTTCTATTTTTTCTGATAATTTTTTTAAATTTTTAATTTTGCAGTAGTTTATTATCCCCCATGCTGTTGTAAAAATCAGTGATTTCCCATGTGCCCTTCATACAGATTCCTTTAATGATAACAGTTTAGAGGAATGCAGAACAACTTCACAGCCAAGCAATGGGCATTAATTTTGTGAAGATGTAGAACTTCTCCATAGAGATCCTTCTTGTTCTTGTATCAGCTCGCCTCCAGCCCCAGACTTTGTGTTGGCCTCTGGCAACCACAGAACTGCTGTTGTGTGTACTCTTGTCCTTCTAAGTATGCTTATGTAAATGGAGTCATACATCATGTACAACTCTTTTATCCAGTGTAATTCCCTTCGAATTCTGCTAAGTTGTTGTATTCTGTTCCTTCTTATCTGAAAGAGCATTTCAAGGTATATGTATACCACCTTTTGCTCAGTGTTCTTCTGATCAAGGGAATCTGGTTCTTTCTGGCCATGATTTATTCTAATGAAAATAAAAATGCTATGAAAGCTCATGTACAAATTTTGGTATAAATATACATGTTAGGGTGTTTTTCAAGTACAAATTCCCAGGTTTCCAGTCGCTGGTCTTACATTAGTGCATGTTTCATTTTGTAAGACACTTGCAAATTATTGTTCAGAATGGCTGTACTATTTCACATTTCTACCTGCAATACATAGATGGTCTAGCTGGTCTGCATCTTTTCCAGCCTTAGATGTTGTCACTACTTTTCGTCTTACCCATTCTCTTAAGTGTGATATTTCTTTGTGACGTTAGTTTGTGTTTCTCCAGTGTCTAATGATGCTAGAAACATTTTCTTGTGTCTCTTTTCCACTTGCATCTCTTTTAAGTATCTATGCAATTATTTCACCATTTTCTCCTTGGATTATTTGGCTTCTTTTTTTCTTGACTGATCAGATTTGAAAGATTTTATACGTTTTCAATACTAGCCTTCTGCTGTGTGTGTGGTTTGCAAACTCTTCTATTTCTAGGCTTCTGTTTTTGTTCTCTTGACAGAGTCATGAGACTAATAAACCTTGGTGGGTATAATTTATCACTATTATATTTTATGAATCATGCCTTTTGTTGTCATGTCTAAGAGGCTCTAGATCCTAATATTTTTGTTTTAAAATGTCTCATTTTTCTCTTTTCCAATTAATTCTGCTGTTGTTTTTGAATTGATTTATATATACAATGTTAAATCTAGGTCAAGGCTCTACTTTTTGCTTGTGCACAGCCTCTTCCCTAACCTCCTTTGTTAAAATGCTTCTTTTACTCAGCTCTATTACTTTGGTCCCTCTGTCAAGCATTTTTGTGTGATAATTGTGTGGAAGTGATAGTCTCTATAATCATAGAAGTAGCCTCTTTTTTTCTTTAGTGTTCACTTTTACCTTTTTTAAAAATAATTTTTATTCATTTTAATGAGAAAAAAGATAAAATAGCAGTGAAACAGGTTCAAAATAGGTTAGTAGGATGTATACCATAATTAATACATTGCATATTGTTGTCTTCATAGTATTTAGAGGACAAGATGCAGACATGATCTCTTGTCTAAACAATATTAGTACAAACTTTTATTCTCAGTGAACTAAGAGAAAGTAGCTGTATATCTATCCTAACTCTTTTGTGTGTGTACATACACACACACACACACACACACACACACACACACACACACAAAAGAAGTCATTTTAACTTCTAAAGAAGTCATTTTAACTTCTCTCTACTTCAGTACCCTCATCTGAAAAATGGGACAGTTTTCATTTTAACCCCACAGTCTGCTGGGAGATTTGAAAGAGATAATCCCCAGAAAATATTTAGCACAGTGCCTGAAATGTGGGATTTCATAAATTTTAGTTCTTATCTTTATTAATATAGTAAAAGAAAAATATTTAGGAACTCTGTGTATGAGGCAAGATCAAAACATACAGTGAATATTTAAAATTTTAAAAAAATATCACAGTAAAAGACGTTATCATTAATTCCCTCAAAAAACTCCTCCTTTCTTCAAACACACCTATTCCATCATTCTTACACTTCCTGAAGCAGGTCTAGGAGTCCTATTTCCTGAATGTCTTTTTGTGGCCTGCTTTATGTCCTGAATTGATTTAAAACATATATATCCCTGTCCTAGCCCAGGTCCGGTGAGTGT